TTCAAATCCATCTTGAAATTTTCCCACGACCAATTGAGAGTTCGGGTGGACCTGAATTTCTCGAGCTCCTCCTACGATGGCCCGTTGCAGTCCTTTTAGTAACACCTCATATTTTGCCTCATTGGTTAATACCCAAAATCCTAATTTGTACGTGAACTACAAGCTGTCATTTTAGGCAAAATCATGACAATGCCTAGTCGAGCTCCCTATTCGACACCAACCCATCAACAAATAACTACCACTTTTCTTTAGCCTCGAGCTCGACACCTGTGCCCTCCTGAATGGAATCTGGCAGTACCTGAGCCATAATCACCCTCCGAAGCTCATACTCGACCATGTACTCACTCACCTCTATCGCTCATTTCACCATTCGACCAGATACTGATTGTCGACCAAGAGCTTTTCTGAGAGGTAGATTCGTCCTCACTTTCATCTTATGAGTCAAAAAAATATGGTCTTAACTTTCTGGCAGTGACTACCATCGCCAGAGCTCCTTTTTCGATCTCCAAGTACCTCGGCTCGACTCCTTGCATCACCCTGCTTACATAATAGATTTGCAATTGGGAAACACCATCTTCTCTTAAAAATACTGAGCTCACCGCAACCATTCCAATAAAAATATAAAGCACTAAGTTCTCACCTTGCACTAGATTGGCAAACAATGGCAGGTCGACAAGCATGACTTGAAGCTCCTCAAGTGCCTTTTAAGCCTCCTCTATCCATGTACATTAAGAGCTCTTCTTCAAAGTTCTGAATAATGGACTGCTTCACTCGTCCACCCTTGAAATAAACCTGCTTAAGCCCGCGATTCGACCTATGAGGATCTGCACCTCTTAGACACTCTTAGGTAGTCACTTCTCTAGGACTGCTTGAACTTTCTCCAGAGTCACCTCAATCCCATTCTTTGTTACCATATAGCCCAAGAATTTTCCCGACATAACACCAAATGAACATTTATTCGGATTTAACTTCATACCAAATTTCCTTAATGTGTTGAAAATTTCCCTCAGATCTGTTATGTGATCGACCTACTCCTTGCTCTTGACCAGCATGTCGTCAACATAGACCTTCATGGTCCTATTCAGCTACACCTGAAAGATCTTATTGACCAAGCATTGATACGTTGCCCCCGTATTTTTCAGGTCGAATGATATGACCACATAGCAGTAGGCCCCTTTGCTCCTCACCAAGCTCACTCTCTTGCGACCTTCGTTGACCAATGGAATTTTATGATAGTCTTGTGACGCATCCATCAGGCCCAACAGCTCGCACCCTGCTGTTGAGTCGACCAGTGGATAATGTTCTTTCGGTCACGCCTTAGTGATATCACAGAAGTTGACAAACATTCACCATTTTCCCTTAGTCTTAGACACCATTACAATGTAGGACAACTGTCCTAGAAATTGTATTTTGATAATATGGCCTGCCACCTTCAGCAACTTTTCTATCTCCTCTCACTCTGTCCATTTCAGCTCCATGATAACGTCTCTTTTGTCGCACCGGTCGAACGTTGAAGTCAATGTTAAACTGATGCTCAATAATACTCGCGTCGATGCTAGGGAGTTTCTCTGATGTGTAGGCAAAGATGTCAAAAAAAATCCCAGATCAAACTGATAATCTCTAACCTCCAAGGGCCTGCCAAATTTCCCCAATTCAAAACTTTCTATCATCTCTCCCTTCTATCGCTTGAACCTCCGCTATCTCCTCACCCGGTTTAATGTCAGCGTTCTGCTTCCCTTTATAGACTTTTGACCTCTCTTCTACCTTCCTCATGATACTTAGCCTGTTGACTCCACCTTCCTTAGGGAATCCTCCCGTCCTTGCATTGTTTCGGTCAGTCGTCACAGTGACTTGATAACACGTTCTCGAGGTGAGTTGATCCCCAACAACCTCTCCAACTAATTCTCCCATTGGGTACTTGATTGCCATATGATAAGTCGAGACCACTTCCTGAAAGGCATTCAGGCTTGTTCATGCGTGATTTTACACCATATTTATTAAGTATATAGAGCTTATTTATTGCATTATTGGTGTATAAATTGCATTATTGTGCTTTTTTTCTATTCTTGTTGGAAAAGTATTACACGTGCTTGTTTTGTAGACATTTCCCACATATTTGTAGAGCTTTTGGCTATTGGAGGCACATGGTGAGTACCTAAGACCCCCGGGATGATGAAAGATTGATGCATAGATGAAAACAATGAAAGAAACGAGTGAAACGAGTAAAAATGAGAGTGCAGATTTGTGACATGGGAAGCGACACTCACCATGACCGTGTCAGAGGCCGTGTCACGTCAACAGAGATATTTCAAAGCCCAGGGACCTGATACGGGCTGCGACACGGACGGTGACACGGGCAGAGCGGCCGTGTCGCGCGCGCAGGCTGTTTTTTTATATCTTACCTATTTTGAAAAGGAGAAGGTTTTTGGACATTATAAAAGACATATTTACCCTATTTTGAGGGGAGGAACGGTATACACAAGAGAGGAGCCCTAGAACACACAAGAGAAGAAATTGGGAAGCAAAAGAAGATCAACTACAAAGGGATCAAGAAGATTGAAAGATCAACGAGATTCCTAGTTTTTCTTTCTTCCTTCTTCTGAACTTTTATTTATCATGTCAATTTCTAATATATCTATGCATTTGAATTCGAACATGAATGGCTAGATTATTTGATTTTGAGACTTGGTAGTAGATTAATATGTTGGAATTTTGAATGAATTATTCTAATTGATTGTTTTCTTTTGAACCTATTCAAATATTTTGTTCTTATTTCATGTTTAGCTCTTGATCAATGCTTTTACATGTTTGACAATATTGTTCATAATTCGAGAGATGAGTTCAATATTAGGTCTTTAATATTTGACACAATTTACGTGCTTGAATCGAGAGATTAGTAGGTCGTTGGAAGGATATTAAATCTTTTGTTCTATTTGGAATTGATTTGCATATGTTGAGTGGAGACGCTAATATATGTGATTTAATCTACGTTTTTATCGATCTCAAGAGGGACGATAAGCTAAATTTGTGATCATCTTATAGGGGAGATAATGAAAACATTGGTTGTGATATTTTTGAAGGAACCCAACTATTAATTGAAAACACAGTCTTAGAATCTATCATTCCCATATATTTTCTTACGTGTTTTTCTAGCTAGTTCTTTATGTTTGCTTGATTTCCTTTGATTTATTTTTTTAGTTTAACTAATCTATCTCATATCCGATCGTCAAAATAAAGTTGACACTATCATAATCTCGTACTTGATACATTAATTATTTGGTCTCTTAGGATACGACCTTGCTTGCCACATACTACGAGCGAAGCCGTACTCTTGCGGTCGAGATTTAAAAATATAGGCGAACAAGGCTCGTCCTCCCCAAGATAATATTATACGCGGATTTCGATCCAACCACCACAAACTTCATCATTTTCACCTTCTTTGTTGAGCCTGTGCCCATGGCAACCAGCAAGTTGACCTCACCCATAAGAATCACCTCCCCTCCACTAAATCCATATAGCGACATTATCACCTCTTTCAATTCTACATCAAGATCCATTTTCCTGAAATAATCATAAAATATGACGTCAACTGATCTCCCTGTATCAATGAAGACTCACTACACGTTGTACCCGGGTACTTGTGTCTTGATCACCAGAGCATCATTGTGGACCACTTGCAAGCCCTAGCCATTTTCAGCTCTAAATCGAATCAGCAATGCTCTTACTGCAATACTGACCTCTTCTCTTTTCCTTTTGGCAGCTCGAACATGCTTCTTTCTAGTGTTCTTAGAGTCACCATCGGTGGGAACTCCTGAATTATTTGAATGACCCCTCTCTTTGGTGAGGCCTCGTCATCCTCAAATACATGATTGACTCTTTCTCTATATCACTTTCCTCCATCACCTCGACCACCTTGATCATCTTGATCACCTCGATCTTCCCTTTCATCTCGATCTTCACGACATCCTCTCTTATCCTCCCTTTACATGTCCTTATATCAAAGTCTTTGAGGTGACCAACCCTGATCAAACTCTCAATCTCATCCTTTAGGGGTCTGCAGTTATCTGTGGAGTGACCATAATGTCAATAGATCCTACAACAACGACTAAATTTTGGTTGTGTTGGACACTCCCTCCTCGACTTGGGCCAAGTAACCATACAACCATCAAACCTCCTTTCTATCGTTTTGAACACCTCAGTCGTATGTACGTTCAGTGGCATATATTTTTCATATCACTGGCCATCC